TAATTTTAATCAAATTTTATATAGTAAAATTTAAGAAATAACAATTCAAAAAAGTTTATATTAGTAAAATTTTTTTTGTAAAAAATATATAATAAAAATTTTTATATTTAAATAAATTCCAATATCTAATAATTTAATTAAATAAAACAGAATTAAAATTCTATTTTGAAAAAATAATTTATTAAATATTTATTTGATATACCAATCTTTTTGCACCAGATCATATATAGAATATTAGATTACATGATCGACGTTACAATTAGTAACGTGCACGTGATTTTTTTTAACAGATTCATCATGCCAATTAGCATAGTTATTTTTTATGAAATTCCAATTTTTTGCGCAATGTATAAATATATAATGGCATTTAATCAGGCATATTCTAACTTACTAGCGAAATTACCAGCTTCCCTAATAAATGAGGCATGGATACGTCTCACATCACGGAAGCGTAACCCATTATCTAAAAAAAGAGGCCAGTGAAATTAATCCAATTGTAGTCATTTTTAAAACATGAAGCTAATGGATATCAGAAAAGATTGATGCGCCAGAGACGAACTCAAGTTAGCCGGAGTGTCCGACATTATTATAATTCAACTACATATGTTGCAGATAATGCCGTTCAAACCGATCCTATCACCTGTGGTCACGAGGAAGAAAATAACCTCCGGGTCATGAATGAGCTTAAAGTCTTATCCCAGCGCCTGCTTGATTATAATAAGAGGACTTTGAAAAATTCATTGATCAAGAATACAATGAGCGGATTAATGCAAATAAGAAGTTGCGGTGCGAAATTGAGGATCTGAAGATGCAATTGCAGGAGACGGAAAAAAAGCTGGCATCTATAAAATCAGATTCTGCTCATTAGTTGGGGCACTTTTTTCCTTACGCTGGTCCTTGAGGACCCGCTTCTGTCTCGCCTCATCTCTTTCTGCAGGTTCAACGGAGTGTCAAACCTTGGCCGAATTGTAAGGGGATCATCCTCCGGCCTACTGAGATCAAATAAAACAAACTCACCTTTACGGAGGTAGCTGTTAATAACCATGGATGCGCCCTTTACATCATCGGTATAACAACCAGCTATCTTGGATACATCTTGAGAACTACCACATTAAATGTCCATATATTCTACATTCTATTGTTTGACTAATATTAGAAAAAATAATTAAGTTACTCTTTTTGATTTAACTCTGAAGTAAACGTGGGGAAGTTAGAGTTGTGGAAGGGCAATTGGCGTTACCAACCGGCTTCTCCAAGAGGAGAAGGGTTGCACATACAAGGGCGTCACCAAGACGGTAGCTCGTAGGTGTTGTAAACAGCCTACTCCATGCTCCCCATAGAAAAGCTGGGTGCAATTTTTCCTGAAACTTATATAGTGATGAAAATCTTCGTGTAACGCTAAATCGCGTATTAAGACTGTAAGTCGCGTAAAACAAAGGCAACTACTTAGTACTAGTGTAGACATTATCGACGCGAAATCTTTAACTGTTAAGAAATCTTGTGCACGAGTAAAAAATGAATATGGCGCCAAATAAAGTATTTATTTTGGTTTTGGTTACTCCATTTGCTGAAAGAAGTTATTCATCTCTATTTTCCTTTGTTCTAGTTCTCACTTCACTTTTTACCTAAGGGGATGCACAACTACTTTTCGTCAGCCCCATTCGTAACGTGCACGATCATTGAATTTTTGAAACGGCTTGATTTGGAACAGGCTCTAACGGGTGCCAGCCAAGAACAGATCCAAAGAGAATACGTAAAACACCTAAATTCGTTGAGTAGAAACCAAGTTCTGCCACAATTCGCTCGGGACCACGCGAAAAAGTTGAAGAAGGAATTATTTGTAAGTTAATAATTTCACTGATTTGCTTTTGCTAAGTTTGAGTAAACAATAGTTATAAAACTTCAAGTCAGTCCATAGAAGTTGCGTTATTTTGGAATTCCATATTAGAGCGTGAAAAACATTGCGCTACCGTGAAACATGATTTCACGTTGCTTCAACAAGTTAGACAAAAGCATGTCTCATTGGGTCAAGCTGATGCTGCTAGAGTACAACAAGAAAACGAGAAAGGTATCGATAAAGGACTGAACATACGAGAGAAGTTAGAGGATAAAAAGACAACTCTAGAACAACAGGTGGAAGAGAGTTTACCTTCCGAAATCGACACCAAGGTATCATTTTCAGTCTAGTTCTGTACTCTTATTTTCTTATTAATGGATTATCTGATTAATTTCAACTTAAAAAAGGATGACGGTAATGCAGGAAATACGTCAAACACATTAAAAAGAAAACTGAATGAAGATGACGAAGAAGAGTTGTTAGAAAATGCCATATTTTTATTCAATGAATCAAATGAAGAATTAATGATCGAAAAGGTTGATGAGAATTCATTAATGAATGAAACTCGATTGCCATCAGGAAATATTAACGATAGGACACAAGAGGTAAATCTTATAAATGTTTTATACATATGTATTTGATAAACTTATTATCTTATCATCTATAGGAATTCCTTGATACAAATTTAATTGAATCATTCAAGAAATATCAAAAAAACATACCAAAAACTCGCAGGATCTTAACGTAAATTTAGCATCATCATCTTAAATGTGTTCACATTCTGCTTCTGCATATTTATTACTTGCTAATTGCTAATTTTTAGCCCTGCGTATTGGGGAGTGCTGGATCTAACACAAGAGAGTCTAAAAAATTCTGGAATACAGAATAAGGATATTGAAAAACTATCTCGTGATTTCTCCAATAAAATCGGATGGAACACTGAGGTCATTATTCCTACTGAAGTTCGAAAATATTTTGATGATAATTGCGAAAATATTGATAAAAATGAGGCGGTTAACAGGCTGGATATTAATATGCAGTATATGTATGTAAATTTAAGTATTTTTTTCTTTTTTTATCTAATGGTGTTTGTATTTGTACTATTATTCAGGAAAGATAAGATGTCGAAACTCCAAAAGGCATGTACAGAGGAAGAGTTAAAAATGTGGACTACAGTTCCGCTGATTTCTAGCGTTTTCACGTCAGAAAGTATCGAAACCACTTGGTAAGTCAATGGTCTCTTAAATATTTCAAATGATGATATAGTGATTCCATTTACTTTTATGAACAACTTTTCAAATATTAGGGGTGAAATCCAAGCTATTCCAACAAACAAGGCACGAAATGAAATAAAGGATCCTTTTTCGAGGACAAAAATCGGACATAGAGTCGACATGAAAGGTATCTTGGTCAAAACGACAAATAAATTCGAAATAATTTATGGTGAAGTTTCTGGAGGGCTGGGTCCTTTCGGATTACCTGCATCCTGCAAGAAGAAGCAGTATGTCGATAAAGTGAAACTGATGATAATGCTACGAGATAGCCTCAATCAATTTTTCATAAACAAACGTCACGTGAATGATGAATATCGTAAGGAACTAACCGTTTATGGATGGCTACAAATCGGTAAGTGTAGAAGAAAATATTAGTACGAGTTTCATGCTAAAAGATTACACCAATATTTAATTGACAGGTACTGAATTAAAGATATATGCAATGGACTGGATCGGTTCTGGGATTTATAGATTCGGCAAATTAGATGAATGTTCTTTGCCTGTTGACAAAGATGACTCAAAAATATTGGAAGATGCGTATTGTATCTTAAACTTACTAGAGGTAGTTACTTTATTGTCCTGTAATTATTTAAGATATTTTTTTAACCAATATAATGATTGTAGTCGAAATTACTCGAATCAGAAAAAACCATAAAAAAGATAATACAAAGCAATACAAAAAACAAAAGAAGATGCATCGAGTCAGAAAATAGTCCTCAATTAAACAAGAATCGAACTCCATAGTAGTTGTATATTCATGACGATATGCTTTGTTTTGCCTATTTTTATAATTGCTAATAAAAAATATTATATACTGTATAACATGCCTATTAAATAAAGTTTAGTGTGTTAAACGTTACGAAAAAAAATAATGATATGCAAAAAGATCATTACGAAAAATAATGCACATATGTAACGATCATAGAGAATTTAAAGTTTAAGTTACTCAATAAGATCCAATTCTCGAAAATGCTCTGGAATAACTACATATGTATGGTTCTTCATAATACCAAACATACCTTAAGGCAATCCGGTTTACTTCGCATAATTCTTTCTTAAGTTGATCCCGTGCTTGCTGTTTGATAAAATTATTGGGATCTCCTCCGTGAAAGAATTCGTGATATTCTCGTGCTGTATGCCCTGTACTTCGATTGCAAAGCCATATTGCGGATAAAATATATCGAGTTCTAGTCCATTTGGATATTCTTGTGTTTTTAAAGAATTCAGGCCTGCGGATTAGTGAAAGGGCGCCAAGATATTTGTTAAAATCTCCTGACCTAACTTTTCTTTCTTATATTTTGGGCAGAATGGACACCAAGTTCCTTGTTGAATACTATTAGGAATAGCTTCCCATTGCTGTTTATTCTCACAATCCATTCTAGCTTGGTACGTGAGTTATAGTATCGATCTGAAAGGCAATCTCCATTTTTTACGAGACATTCCCCTCCCCTAGATAGTGCAATTTGATTTGCATCCTCAAGGTTTAGTTTTGCAATACTCGCACCATGAACCAGAATTTTTAATGCGATTAAACGAACTATTCCAAATATGACCTTGATGACATTTCCATATCATCGGCGTTTTGGAATTACTATATACACTTACCATTTCGGCTAAGTGCAATTTGCTTAGCGTCTTCAAGAGTAAAGATCAAATCATAAAAGATGTGGCGTTTCCACCCCAATGGGTGCTTACATAAATTAAGAAAGTCTTCAGCTTCTTCATTAACTTGATCTTCTGTAATAAAATAATCTTTAGCTAATTTATATAAATCCATCACGGCATTAAGAATTCTTGATCTTTTCCATAATATGATTTGTAATCATCCGTGATCTGATTATACTTATTTTTGGATGGGAACAATCTTTTAGCATTCTCTAGGAAATATTCATCAGGATCTTCTGTTGAATTTTCCGTCCTTTGGCTTTCTATAATAGATTCCTGCCTTGACTACATTTATTAATGCCTGTTCGACTTCTTGAGAAATGGGCTTTTTTCGGGTAATTGAATTTGTGTGCTCATTGTGAAAGTGTTGCTACTCCGGTGCTTTGTATTAATATAACGAAATCTTTTGTTTAAAATAAAATATCTATTTCTTATTACTATAGACGAATGTTCATGCAATTATTTCTCAGGACTGGAGGCGTCTGTGGACGTACCTGCCGTCGGCCAGAAAGGTGCTATAAACATTGGAAAGCTAAAGTGTGCCTTCCTTGTAAAGTTTGTGGCAAGCCGACTAGGTCTTTGTAGTAAACATGCTAGTGGATACTATGTGACCCAATATATTAACAGATTACGAAATAGGGCCCACTCCCTTGAAGCGATCCCACAGGGATCAGCCAATGCTTCTGCGGGAGATTTGCTAACTGTTTAGTGTGCGCCAAGCCGAAAGAAAATTTTATACTAAGAAATATTGGAAAGCTTTCATCCTGAGATCTTTGATCGAGGAATTTCTTTGAAAAATTTACACCTAGCCCCAAAAATTTACACTTAATGTTTGTGTAAAGGAAAATGGCTTCTAAATGACTTTTGTATATCGTGAAAATTAATGGTATACTATGGCTTTTTAACTTTCTTATTGCATACACAAAAATTTACACCAAGACAAGCTTAGATGTAAATTTTTGATCTTGCTAGATGGAAACGAATCACTTTTAGAATTAATCCTAGGATATCATAAAAAACGATATGCTAATTAAGCATGAAGAGGCTTATCTAGAAAAGCTTCGGGCACTTCGGTCCTTGCTTTTCTAGCTTCGCCTCTGGCCCATCCAGTATGGCATAAATTTTTTGATATATTATTTGGGGAACGGTTAACAAGAAGGGTTAGTTAACAGGATTTGAGCCCAGCTCGATTTAAATCCTGAATTCATTATAGGAATTCATAATGCTAGAAGGCTTCGGGATACTTGGGCGCTTTTCTGGATATCTTCGGAAAAAGATTTGTATCTCAATATAAAAATCAATAATTACTTTTAATAAAAGTCATTCAAATTTTTATAATTTTTTTATATTAAATAAAAAATGATCTAAATTAACTTTTTATGTTATTTTAACTATTTTATAATACTTTAATTCAATAATAAATAAAGCATTACTTTACTAAATAAATTATTTTACTATCAATTTATAATATTAAAACTTCAAATTACACAAGCAGATTGCTCTAGATTTGATAAATATATATTTTAAATTTTATTAAAATTGAATCAATAGTTATAAAGATATTAAGATTTAAA